TCACCACAAACTCGTAATGTCCATTACGAGTTCTGAATGCAGTCTTCTGAATATCTTCATACCGAACCCTCATCTGATGATAACCCGACCTCAAGTCTATCTTCGAGAACCAAGATGCCCCCTGCAATTGATCGAACGGATCATCGATCCTAGGTAACGTGTAACGACCCGTTTCCGGTATGTTAATTAATTTGATTTGGGCTAAGTTTTCAAGAGGGACTCGGCGAGTTCTAGCCTGACTCGCCGAGTCGGGTCGCGCATCTTGTGCACGCAGGAGCCGGCGACTCGGCGAGTCCATATCCTGGACTCGGCGAGTCCGTCCGTCCGGGTGAAACCCTAACTCCCCGGGTTTGCTCACTATTTAAACCCCATTATAGCCTCCATCTCGTCACTTTCCCCCTGAGAGCACTGTGAGAAACCCTAAACCTTCCTCTTGTGAGCTTATAAGTGATCTTGTTCCATTTTGTGAAGGGGTGAAGAAGGAGAAGAAGAAGGAAGCAAGGAAACGAGTTCTAGTGCCAAGATCCAAGATCAAGTGTGAACTTATTGAGGTATTTTCGGAGTTCTCTTCTGGTTTCATGTTTAAACTTCCATTAGAACTCTTTTAAGGGCTATTTGATGCTTGTTCCAAGCTTTATGCTTGCTTGAATGTGTTATTAAGCCGAAATACCTTTGGATCTGAGTGTTGGGGTGTTGTAGAGTCCAGATCTACTGTCTTTTTGGAGTTACATTGCTTATTAGCCATGGATCTACCCTTATTGTGCATATTTTAGTCTTATTTCCGTCATTCATGTGGTTGTGCACGTAAAGTTGGAAACTTTACGTGGTAAAACAGCTTAATGGACCTAGATCTATCATTTGCATGTGTTGGATTCAAGAGAAATCGAGTAGAAATATGTTGCATGGCGGCGACTCGGTGAGTCGGAAGAACGACTCGACGAGTCAGGTCGCGAGTCCCGAGTTCCTCAGTTTCTTCAGTGTCGAGTGGACGAGGTGAGTTAGGGAGTGGACTCAGCGAGTTAAGAGTAGACTCAGTGATGGAGGGACTCGGCGAGTTTGTTCATACAACTCGGCGAGTCCAAGGCAATCTTCTTGAGGATCAAGAACAACTCGTCGAGTCTGTTCATCTGACTCGGCGAGTCGGATGAAGATCATCTGAGTTCTTGGATCCAGAGGATACCCGTCGAGTCGATGCCACACTCGACGAGTAACAGCATGTAAGAGTTGAGCGGAGAGTCTAGGACTCGGCGAGTGGTATCCCGACTCGGCGAGTCAGCCCTGAGTAAGTCAACTTTGACCAAGGGTAAAAGAGTCATTTTACCCTGAGTGTGGTGCTAGTGATAGATTGAGTGTGT